ACGTGTAATATCTCACAAAAAGACCAGATATATATCAGAATAGTAAAATGAAGTTTTCCGAGGAAATCACTGGCAAGGGCAAGCCGCTCATGGTTTCTTCGATGCAGGAATGAAAATTGACCAAAATCAGTACTCAAACGGCGTACTGATGGGAATAAATGAAACAATGATCCGACTACGTTTTTTGAAACATCTCGTGGTCCTTCCAGCAGGACGCTCCTCCAGCCCACAGACTTGCTCGCGAGTGGTGCCGGCGACAGCTGCCCGACTTCATTGGTGAAGAGGGATGGTCATCGTATTTTCCAGAACTTGACTCACTTGAACCCACGACTAGTCCCTTGTTAGAAGAGGAACTGTCGAATTTGCGTTCCCAGTTTGGAATCCCGGAATGCAAAGGCTGAAGAATGGCTGGGAAGAATTGAAGGAGGATACCTGCGTGCCACATCGATCAAGTCAAGAGCAAACTTTGACTTCTATCCGCGCTCATGGGGGGTATTTTTAAAGGCGACTGTAGCACGTTGTAGCATGTAGTGTCGGCGTATGAGTACAGCAATAGCAATTGTGGGAAGGCGTATGAGTACAGCAATACTGAACGGCAGGCGTACAGCGAGATAGCCGCTCATTACAGCATGAAATTGAGGAGATCAAGCCGAGTTTGCGCGGCTACACCTTGCATGGACTTGGACTGAGTGGAGCACATTCTTTCAACGAATGAAGGCACGTTCAATCTGTATGGAACTGATGGTCTAAAGTACGTGGACATTCATCAGAAGAGCGTTTTAATTTTAAGTACTTCAGGCCAACAGTCAAGAATGGTGGAGAATCACTGAGATTAAGTCTTCTCTTTATAATGTAACGCGAACCAGAATATCTAAGAGCTAAGTGTTGCGAAATATCGATACTGTGGTATGGCATGACATACTAAAGTTTCTTATAATTTGAGTCAGCAGTAAAAAAAACTAAGATTAAAACTGTTTCGCCGAATCGTTTCGAGCACTACTGTGATTACATGAGTCCCACCAAAAAGAGAGTGAAAAAACCAAAACGTGTAATTTCTCATTGAAAAAGTAAAAAAGAGAGAGTAAAAAAGGTGTGTTAGCAATGTGATCAAGCTAATAACAGTAGGGTAGTCACTGTCTGGAACGGCAGGAAACTGTCAAGAAAAACGTTGTCTACAATAGGTGTAAAGTTATTGCTTCACACTATAGGTGCAAAGTTATTGCTTCACTTCGAAATAAAGTGTCAACAAATACATTTGTGCCAGCCAACTACTATTATAAATGAACGTGAATGTTGAGTTTCTAATCTATCGAATAAACCCAATTAGGTTTGTATGGCTTTGTTTCTGTAATCCGAATGAACACTTCGACATTCTTTCAAACAGTTGTTCAGCATAGTATCGTAATTTGCCGTGTATAACAAAAAAGAATGTTGACAGGGTTGTTTCGAGGCGCTAGTTCTTCGTTTTCAGAGGATGCATTGACGTCTTCCTCAACAGAATTCGATCCTCGGACATCGCTGCAAATCAATGTAGTCATGTTTTGTGCAGCGACTGAATGCGGTGCTCTTTACTTGCAAATTAATTTTCAATTTTCAGATGATTCAGATTTCTTCACAAGCACACGGTAGGTCAGAAACCGAATGCAGGCTTCCTGCTGTCTGTTCAGCTTCAATACTTGCTTGGTTTCATCGGGAGATGTGCGGCCCGTATTAGACATAAAGCGTGATATCGTTTTGTAAGGAAATACGTAAATACATCCACGTGTCCGCATGCAATCGATGTTATCGATGCGTCTGCAAAAGTAAGTAGTGGAGCTCGAAGTAATGCTCCAATGTTATTGCATCTGATGCTTCCTTAGCATCTGCGAAACGGTGCGAAGATGTCTCCCTATGTAGGCCACGCACTCATCACTTAGAAGGGATATCAATGGCCGACACGTAGCAATGTGTGTATAACAAAGTCATAATTATACAAAATGGGGGCTATTGCCATGAAAGTTGCACCTGAAGAGTCAGTAAAATAAAGCAGTCAGCCATATCAGAATCTCTTTAATTTGACGGACACATCAGTAAAAACTTGAAGAAGTATATTTCTCAAGGCGTACCTTTCCTAAATTTCAACCGTCTTTGAAAATTGTCAGATTTGCCTCATCTTGGAGTTGCCGGACTTGCGGAGAACGTCATTTCCTCACCTCACGTCACCTCTTGGGGCGAGTGGACGCAAAAAAGTGGCTGATCTCTGGAGAGCGGCTTTCCTCACCTGCTTCACCTCATAGGACAGCATTTCAGGCATACGCAATCAGGCCTGATAAAAGTTCGAATTCGAATCTTTTCGAAAGTGATTAAAATAGGAAGTGAGGGAGGGTAAAAACGTGATACACACCTTTCCGGAATTTTGGGCTCTTCTAAAAATCGTCAGAACTGGATTTTGCCTCCATCATAGGACTTTCTGTGTTTCCTCATCTCACCTGATCTCATAGGAGATGAAATGATGTGGACAAAATCAGCTCTAGAAGACGTGGTTTCTCGAAGAACTGCTAGTAGAAGATAGGGATGGAGAAGCCATGTGATCCGTACCTCTTTGAAATTCCGGCTTCCTTGAGAAGGGTCAAATCTGCAAACTGGTCCTCATGTTGGAATTGCGGGACTTGCGGAGGGCAGCTTATCCTCACCTCACCTCACCTCGCACAAACGCATTTTGAGTTCAGTTAGACTGGTACGGCAGAGATCAGAATTTCATCGAAATTGTATAAATATTAGTGCCTTTTGGTCCCCCTCTCGAATTTTTGTGCTTTCAAGAAGTTTCTCGAGGGCACTACTTCCTCTTTCTTGACAATGCGCTCTTCTTGCAAACAGAACAGTACAAAGCACTTTTAACATTCTGCTCCTTGAATTTATATTTGTTCGATGTTATGTTGGCAGCGGATATCTATCCTCGATCCTACTATCCAGTATACTTTGTAGTAAAACCTCGTTGAACACAGTATTCTTATTGCGGTCTTGGATGACTTAATTTTTATACCTTCGCGTGTCCTTGCACGTGATAGCGCGACGTACAGCTGCCCGTGAGAGAAAACGTCTTCTGTTAAGTAAATTCCTACCTTATTGAAAGTCTGGCTCTGCGCTTTATATATCGTCATAGCGAATGCCACTCTCACTGGGAATTGTCGTCGGCTTGATAAAAGGTGTTCGTTTGTCCCAGTAATAGTCAATTCGCAGAATGATGACCAGTTGTCCTCTTCTGTCCCCGCAGCCAAATTTGCATACCATGGTGAAGCGTCCCTATACTTCTATCTTTAAACTGGTTCCATTACAAAGTCTATTCGCAACGTCAAGATTCCTGAGAAGCATGACAATTGTACCTTTTTTGAGACGTAGTTCATGTGGCGGCATGCCTGTGGGGTTCAAGAATTCAGATAATCCTATTAGTAGAGTTGTTTGTTCTGCCCTTCTGGACGAATTGCTTCGTCGACACTTTTATAGGTGCGTTCGTCTTTTGGGGTTACAACTTCCAATACAATCACGCTCGCGATACTAATATTTTTATAATAATATTCTAAGTTGCAATGCTAAACTATTACAATAATATTCTTCTATACATTAAAACTATATCGTTAATAATATAATATGGAACATATATTTTTAAAGAAACTAGATATAAACAACGACATAGGAACCTTGGAATGATATGTATTTATCAAAAGCGTACCTGTCGTGTCGCAGTGAAAACGTAATAGCGGCGCGGCAATGGAGCGTATCCCTCACGCTAAATATATGGATTTAACCATTCAATCTTCATTTATTATTGCATTCGAAGTAATTATACCGGAAAAGTTAACACCAAGAACTTATATCAAATACATGCAGTAAACAATATGTATTAAATGGAAATACAAATATATTCAAGATTAAGACATACCTGTTAAACTGAACCTGCGATCAATAGGTGGCACACAGTTCCAATACAAGCACGCTCGCGATACTAAATATTTTTGTAATGATTTTCTATATTTTTAACTATTTTGTTAGTAATATAATAAACATAGTTTACCGATACGAACATATAAAGATAAGGGTGATAATTAATGTACATATCTCACCTGAAGTGACTTAAAGACGTTGAATCATAATAACGTTAAGTAGGGCGACGGCTGGCGTGAGGACGTGTATATCGCGCTGAGTAACGGATTCAGAACATCGTACTTCACGCAGAATGTATTCGGAACATTCGTAAAATAGAGACTTTGTGATTGAACAAGAAGTTTATGTCGATTGCAGAGTATTAGTACCAGAAGTGAACGATGTGAGTGAAACGAAGTAGTTTACTGGCGAGCAGAAACCGACAGTGAATGGCACTGGACAAGAGAACATGTTGAAGAAAAGCTTTGTCGATGTCCCAATTGATACGGTAATGTGATCTTCACTATATTGGAATGGCTAATCAGATATACATTCGAGGCAAAAGTAGACCTTTAAAGGCATTTTTCCACGCGTAATAACATAGTACGTAATTACACAACTTACGATTGTTAGACGTCTATAATGTTTTATAGCTTAATATAACAAGCTTTATGTTTAGTAAGCGACCTTTTTGATTTGTGTAGCATTCCCCGTAGATACTATTGATGCTTAAGAAGATTTTCGACATATTCTCATGCTAACTGACACTGAATGCATAGAAAATTAAGGCTGTGCTTTTCTTTTTCGTGCTCAATTAAGCAGCTATCTTCTTTAATAGATTTCTATTGGTTTGATACGTTCATACAAGCTCTAATTTGTAATCAGTTTTATAGGAATTTGGTTATAACAGACCTGCGGGAATATACATCAGTGTTAGTGGATAGGAACACCGCACTATAATATATGTTTATATAGTATATTCGATATACATGATGACAGGATAAAAAAGGACGATACAGGTATGTATATATAGTTTCGTGTATTTGATTCTTTATGACGATGCGAAGTCTTTTTCTAATGTACTTTTTATCCCTCTTGATTGTAACTTCACCTTATTTTAAGCCCACTTTGTTTCTTACCTTTAGTTTGACTAATAGGAGTCAAAGTTGTATAAGTTGTATTTAAGGTATACATACATAGTTATAACAGCTCTTGGCCTCTCCTCACCTTTTTTTTTACTTATTTAATTATTTATTTATTTTTTATATTTTATATATGTATCGGGCCGCCCGGCTGACGCCGGGCTTCCCTCCTTCTTAGGGGTTCGCCCGGCTACGCCGGGCGCTCCTCCATCCTGTGAGAAATTTGCTATGTGTAAATAACTCTTCGGATTCTCTTTTTTCTTTGGAAGCTCTACACCCTCAGTATCAGCTCCAAATTAAGAGCGTTTTTTTTTCTATGAGCCATCTTCGCTGTGTCCGAATAGAACATCGCATAACATCACAAAGGCGCTTATTCAAAGAAAGAAAAGTATTCAGAGACTTCATCGCCGCTGAGTCTACTATGTTAGCTACCATCAATGTTCCCAGCCAACTCCATGTGCCTCCAAGTTTCAACGGTCTGGGTCCGATCTAACAGTATTTATTCACGCCCAGCCCTTTAGGGCGGGATTTAGTCTTGCAACCTATCATCAGTGTTCATATCCTGCCTCCTGTATTCCTACAGAGTTTGGTCGCTCTAGGTCCATTTTGACATTTCTCTGCAAGCCCCGCCCCCTGGAGAAGTTATGATTTTCTGCTCAAAGCCCCCCGTTGTGGACAGATTCCGGTTCTGCCACTCACCATAAGTGTTCTCATCCGGCCGCCTGGGCTCATGCCAAATTTGAACTTTCTAGGTCCACAGGGACAGAAGTTATAAATTTCTGCCCAAACCCACCCCTTATGGGCGGAGTCCGGATCTGCCAGCGGCCATAAGTGTTCCCATCATGCAACCTGCTCTCCTAC